AGTTAGGAAGGAAACCTCCATCATTACTAGAAAGATCAATATCAGTAAACTTAAGAAACCTATCAGTGGATGCCCAATGTTTCCTTATAAGGAAAAGGCTAATATTACTGTAACAATGAAATTACTCACACATCCAATAACAAATTTTGAACATACATCCAGGGGCAAAAGGGAAGGCTACTGTAGTTAATTTTTTAATATTTTTAAATTATTTTTCATGAACATTATTTTCATGATCACTTCTTTAATATCTATGCATGTTGCTCCACCACCTGTCAAGGTTATCAACGGGTGTAACAACAACTTGCAGTTATAATCACCTAGCCAGGAGTTAGTGAAGAATCTTTCATTTTAGTCTTCACGAAAAATTGATCCATTAAAGAAATATATCTAACTTAAAAGCTGCTCTATCAGGCAGCAATTAAACTAGTTCCTGCGGAGGGCCTTTGGTTTGTTTAGGAGTTTGAGAATCCCTAAGTCTTTGCATATTCTCAGCATTGGAAGCTCTCCTGGCTGCTATTTGAACTAGTTTCATTTGCATGTGACTCTTTTCCTTGCTGCAGCCGAAATGAAACCTGAGGACAACTGTCTGAACAATATAAATAACGACAATACCTCATCTCGGAAATAGACAGATCCTGAAAAAGTCCAGAGCATACAACAGCCAAAATGTCATGAATATGGTAATGAGGATGAGGACAACAGTAACAATGTAAATAATTACAATACCTCATCTCAGAAATATAGACAGATACCTTTTAAAAATTCAATGATAATTCTTCAGCCGATAGTTAATTTAAAGACATTTTCGTACAAACCATTATTTTTATTTCATGGGTGACTTTTGTTGGATTTCAGTTAATTTTAATTATTTCCAAGTTATAAAAATTATCATACAAAAAAATTCATCGCAAAAGTTGTTTTTATCAGTAGAAGTGAAGAGGGTGGTACCTGAAAACAATTGCAGTAATGAAAACTTGGGAATCCAAAATTTCAGAATTACAGGTCTGGATCTGGACTCTGTTTTAAATTTACTCACAGTCAGCCTGATTCTAAAATGGTATGATATGAATGGGCTACGGCCATTAGGAGTAAAGTTGGAAAAGTGTGACACACTGACATTTGCATCTATTTATATAGAAGGATAATGTTTTGACTCGTAATTGAGTTTTCTTTTGAAATACATCAACGGAAGAAATCTGGTACTTTCTGGGATGGTACAACTTTCCTCCTCTTGCCTTTTAAAGGTCTATCTTTACAAGATCCAGATTCAACTAAAAATGGAGTGCTGGTATCATATCTGGGTTGGACCTTCTGAATCCTCAATTTCCAGCCTTGATAAAGTTCAATGATGTCTACAGCCGCTTTCTCACAGATAAAACAATACAAGACTCTTGCTACTCTGTCGGTATTTCCTTGGAAGATTTTCTGAGAAGCTACATACATTAGTGCCACCATTTCAGACTTTCACAGCTAAGACCTCCTATGCAGTGTACACTGAGATGAATCATTCCAGAAATTCAATTTGGACAGCTTCTTTCCAAGAATCACTGCTTTGTGGAAGAGACACCTTAGAGAATGCATTTCTAATCACTAGAATCCAAACCTTTTCAAGGCTGGGGTCAACTGTTATCTATCATACATATTTTCAAAATATGTACTTCTTTCTTCCTTCTTCCCCCTCCCTTACAGACATCTCAGTTCAATAAAACTGTACCTTTGTCCTTGGTATGACGATAAACTACATCCGGCAGCAAGGCCTCTGATCGGGAGATTGGAGGTTTTGAGGAGCGTGGAACCACCTCTTAATTGCTAGTCCTGGGTATGACTATAAACTACATCCGGCAGCAAGGCCACTGGTCGGGAGATTGGAGGTTTTGAGGAGCATGGAACCACCTCTTAATTGCTAGTCCTGGGTATGATGATAAATTACAGCCAGCAGCAAGTCCTCTGATCAGGAGATTGGAGGTTTCAAGGAGTAATCTCAGTTCAGTAAAACTCTACTTTAATCCTGGGTATGACGATAAACTACATCTGGCAGCAACATCACCTCTGATCAGGAGATTGGAGGTTTTCAGGGACATGGAACCACATCTTAATTGATTTTTTTTTTTTTTTTCCCCCAGCTCTTTCCTGATCGGGGGTGGAATCATGTGTTAGGGTCCCTGCTATGGGCAATCAGTGAACGCCCAAACTAAAACAAATCACTATAAAAGTATAAAAAATACTTTTTATAATAAAATCAATACATTTTAAAATAAAAAAAATTACCAACAATACATTTTATCTTCAGTTGAAGCCATAAAATTAGGTTATATACTTAAATATCAGCATTAAATAACATCCAGTAGTTGATATGACACTAAACAAAATCAACCAACCAACTAAATCACTACCTTTAGTGTATTTTGGCCTTTGTGTTAGTTGAACAATTTATCACAAAATAAAGGCAAGATGAAGAAAAATCAATTTTTATATATTTATTTGTGTTTTTTTTTTGCTTTATTTTATTCAGCTAGTAAAGCCTTGTAATATTTTGTGTGAGCAATTATTTTTATCACTATATATATATATATTTATATATATATATAATGGCTGGTCACTTGTATTTGAGGATGCCATTCTGCTAGAGCAGCTAGCTAATCCCCATTGCAGATGCACACTCAGGCACATTTGTACTTATTCAATATCAACAGAGCCCAGTTGTGGTTTATACTGCAACTTTCTTCATTCCTCTTATAATATTTTCTTGTTAATAAATTATAAATAAATGAAATTCAAAAAATACCCCTTCTGAATTGCTATTTCGCTCCACCTGACACTAAAAAGTTGGATGGAATAAAATAAATATGAAGCCTAACTTTTTTTCTAAAAACTGAAATAAGAGACTGGAAGAAAAAAATGTATAGATATATCTGACAAGAAAATACTTTATATAAAACACTCCTTTACACCCTTGTCTTATACTCTCTTTCCCAATCTTCCAACTGATCAGTTCTCCCTCTCATCTTTTCATTAGATTTTTTTCTTCCTTTTCTGCATTTCTCATCTTCCCCTGAGCATTTTATCCCTCTCATTCTCACATATATACTTTCTTCCTCATCATCTCTTTCTTCTCTACAAACCTCCACCTGATTAGTTTTCCTTCTCTTTCCTTCTCTCATGTACACTATCTTTCCTTCCTTTCCTCTTTCACCTTTTCAAATTTCCCTCTCATTCCTTCTCTCAAGACTTTTTCTTCCTTTTCTCTTTCATCTCTTCAACCTTCCACCTGATAAATTTTCCCTCTCTCATATACACTTTCTTCCTTTTCAATTTTCCCTCTCTATTTTTCTTTCATATATGCTTTCTTCCTCTTCTCTTTCACCTTTTCAAATTCCCCTCTCTTCTCTTCTCTCGTGCACACTTTTTCTTCCTTTTCTCTCTTCAATTTTCCCTCTCGTTCCTTCTCTCATATATACTTTTTCTTCCTTTTCTCTTTCCATTTAACCTTCCACCTGATTTTTTCTTTTTTTCTTCTTTCATAAATAAAGACTTCCTTTTTCTCTTTCACCTGATTCCACCTGATAAATTTTCTCTCTCTTTCCTTCTTTCATATACGCTTTCTTCCTTTTGTCTTTCACCTTTTCAATTTTCCCTCACTTTCCTTCTCTCATATACACTTTCTCCCTCTTTATTCTCTCTCTCTCTCTCCTCTTCTTTCTATTAGTAGTTTCTCCATTACTGTAGTTTAGTTCCCATGTCCTAATATAAAATAAGCAGTTTTTAAACAAGGTCACCTCTCACCCTAGTTAAAATGAAAATGATTACCGCAATATCTATTTACACAATAAATGCATTTTATATATATATACACACACACACACACCTACATCAACACATCTTGTCCCACCCTGATTCCAATCGATTGGTTATATCATGCTGGTATGATTCTTTTATATGATTGAATTATTTATCAGAGGTATATTGTGTATTGGGGTCAGTTCTAGCAATGTTGGTGCAAATACATTTTATCTGCTTTGTGGCAGAAAAATCTCATAATGAAATCTATCGAATTCATAATCACCACAATATTTGTCATGCTTCATTTCCTTGTCTCTTGCTAAAGTAAACAAGATGTCATGTTACAGGAAATCAAAAGGGGAATTGGATTCATGCCTTTTGCTGTGTATATCTGATTTTTAAATCTGACTAAATCCAGTCACTTGTATATAATTAATATCTCTCTATCTCAAATCCTTTATGTCTGTACACGGAAAGGACCACCTTTCTCAACATGTTAAGACATGGGTGGTCTCTGAAGGAAGCCCCTTACCTTGAATGCCTGTTAGGTCCCCAGATCACAAATAAAACTCATATATATGATTCATCACCCCGAGGCAGTGTAATGGTTAGCAAGCTTGTCTCGCTAGAAAAATTATGTCTGTGTAGAGAATTTGAAAACAAGAGTAGCCAGCCATTATATAAGTGTGCATGGGAAAAATAAAAAAAAAAAAAAAAAAAAAATAGGATCCAAGCTCTCCCCAGACCTCAAGTGGAACTCCATCACTAAAGAGGCTGGAAAAATTGGTTGGATCCTTGTACTGCTCCTGTAAGTATCAAACACCTTCTGCTAGGTTCTATCTTGGTAAGTACCAGATCAGAGGAAAAATAGAGGATTGCTGCCATTATCTCAGCTAGAACTGCCTAGTCCTCACTTGTCTTGTGAGATTTGGCAATAATTAAATTCTTACCTTCAGCCATTTTATTTTGTAAGTATTTTTCATCGCATTCATATGCACAAAGTCTTTTAGGATTGCAGCGTAAGGGGTAATACCAATCCCTGTACCAACTAAAATAGAAACATAGAAGTGGTACCAGTCTTATTGCTCAGCTCCATAAGGTCCATCAGCATATAACTGGAAAAAAAAAAGCAACAAATGAAACTTCATCTCTATTAGATTAATTCTGGAATAAGGCCACAAGTAGATGACACCTAGTGAGGATCAAACACATTCAGCAACAGCTCTTTATTGAGTATCTATGCAAATGATACAACAGTGTTTAGGTGACCAGAGCCTGGCTGCTGACCTCGCCTCTGACCAAGCCTTGGTGGCTCAATAGGAGGGAAGGAACTGGTTTGTAACATTCAATACCGCCAAAAACCAACTTGCAGCAGACTCTGAACTTTCACCTATCATGATGGATAGTTGTTCTCTCAAGCAGGCTCATTGTCCTGAACACCTATTAGGATCCAAGCTCTCCTCAGACCTCAAGTGGAACTCATATATATGATCCATCATTAAAGAGCCTGGGAAAATTGGTTGGATCCTTGTACTGCTCCTGTAAGTATTAGATCAAGGATCGGCAACTTGTTCGACCCCGCGGACTGGATCGTGTTATAATGACGGGTCGCGGGCCAGACAAAGGCCATTAATGAAAAATTAAGGAAAATTACATATGCAGACCCCTGTCAACCTAAGTATTTAAAACCATAATGAAAATAAACATTGAGAAATCAGAAAAACAAAAGAAAATTTAAAATTAAAAAAACACCTAACAAAAATTACTTTTCCTCAAGGAACGTCAAAATACTTCAAAGTGAAAAAAATCAACCGAAGTGAAATGGATGAAATTATGACGTATTTGGTTTGAAACTGTTATTGAAAATTGTTTCACAAACAAACCACACACACACATCAAACAAAAAACGAAGCACATATACCCATACATACAAGTACAAATAGTTGCAAACATATACACTTACGTACGTACACATGCGGTATCATCTACACATTCATGAGGCATGTTTGTATAATGCGCGTATATTTAACTGTCTTTAGATTTCTGCTACCTCGCATGTCAGTCCCTTCCTGGCCTCTTTCACTTCATCGTTCCTTTCGCTTCTGTTATCTTTTAATGTAGCCAAGGGTCATAACAAATATGTATCCATTATTTGACATTAAACGTAGGCAACGCAACTTGGTAAAATAAGTCTCATGAAAGATAACTGGCAGATAGTCTAATTGGTAATCAGGCCCGCGGGCTGGATCCGGCCTGCGGGCCGTAGGTTGCCGACCCTTGTATTAGATTGTTATATATATTCATTTCATTTTAATCAAAGTCACAAAGTAGGTGGCAATGGATGAGCACTGGAGTTTGTTTCTCTCGGTCAATGCATGTGGCATTCAGGTGCCATGTTTTCTTGACCTTACCCATTGCAGATGATGAACGACGGTAACATGAATCTTCTGAGGCAAAACCCTTGTCTTGTGTAATTCTTTTTTAATCAGCACAGGGAAGTGGTTCTCATCAAGTTGAACAGGTTGAACAGAACACAGAGAGTCTATGAGTTCAAACTTCCTCTCCTTGAAATGGGGAAAACCGTTTCTGTGCCATTCTGTCAGTAATAACTTCATCTCTGTACACAAATATCTCCAGCAGCTCTGTGACCTTGATTAAAAGCAAAAGACGATGATGTCAAACATGCTCAGACTTGTCTACTTGGCATTCCATCTGAAAGGGGTGTTTAATCTGAAATAAAATTTCAATAACGTAAGACAAGTTTTCACACGATGACCAGGGTTACTAAGAAGCTAAAAATGCTATGAAAGATCATTCTTAGAACATCTGAAAAAAACAAATGAATATACATAACAACCTAATAAAAAATTCAACACATCAACTAAAGCGCATACAAAATATTTAAGTAGAAGTCATTACCGAAAAGTGGGGAAAGACAAGTTCCTTACATCCAGTTTCTTCTTTCCCCAAATTCTCTTACCCCCACCCTATAATAATAATAATAACTGACATCAAATATATATATATATATATATATATGAAAAATAGCTGGCCACTCATATTTGAGGATACCCGTCTACTAGGGTCGCTCAGACACATTTGTGTTTATTCAACACCCACAGAGGCCACCTGTGATTTATACTGCAACTATGCTGAGCAGACCTTAGTTACAGTTTCTGGGAGAGAGTGTGTTATCTAGCGGGATCAACAATTTGAACAAGGTCAGTATGATCAATCTCTTGGCCATGATGACTTGTGGCTTTGTGCTAGCACAGTTATCAACGACCCACAAGAGTTCCATCTACCCAATTTCACTCAGAAGGCTTGGGTCAACCTGTGGTATGGTTTTTCAGGCACTTTCCAAAGGTGCCGCACATTAAGATCCAGTCCAATAATATCAGGAAGTCGCCTTCCAGACAAATTGAGCATGGTGGGATTCAAACGCAGGTCTTATGGTCAGAATGCGGACGTTCTAACAACTTGGTCATGTGCCTATATCTAGCCACACTGATGAGCTGTGATACAGCAAAACAGTCTGTCTGTGGATGACAATATATATGCTCCTGAAAAATTTATTTTGGTTGAGTTCTCTCGGGACAAAGTGTGAGTTTGTAAACAGTGACTATTACAGCTAATAATACAAGACTCTTCAGTAAAGTGGATTGAGTTCTCTCAGTCACTGTGTGTTTAACTAAAAATAAATACACTTAAATTCACCTTCATTCCTGCCGTATGGCAACAGCTTAGGGGTAGAATCTCCAACTGATGCAAATTCAACCAGGTTTCGATCCTAGCTAGAGGCAACTGGGTGTCTAGCTACACTTGATGAGCTGTGATACAGTGAAATAGTCTGCCTGTAGATGACAATATATATATATATATATATATATATATATATATATAAATTTTACATGAAATCAACATTTACTTGACATCCTGTTTCAACATGCAATCACGATTGCATATAGCATGAAACAGACTTTTATGTTCATTTTTTTATGTAATTATTTATTTATCTCTGATATTGAGCACTTTATCCCATAAATATAGCACACCTTAAGACTATATTTCTTTTATATATATATATATATATATATATATATATACACACACACACACACACACACACACACAACCATTCTTGATTTTTATTCTTATCAACACAGAATGAAAAGTAATTAAAATAAGAATCTATCATGCTATTACATTCACTATTTGATGGTATTTATCAATAATAATGTATTAATCTCCTCCTGTAAACTGATTGGCTCATTGCTGAGATACTAAGAAACAACAGGCTTCATATCTGATAGTACACTCATAAATATAGTGAATGGGTGTACACCAGCCAACTTGCAACCGTGTCTGTGACCCTCAGACCCCCCACCCACCCTGACAGTATAAAGAATACAGGAAATTAGAATAAAGCCTTATACCATTCAGAAAGAAAAGTTATAATTGTGTCTATGTCCAGTCAAAGCAAACAAGCAAAGATTTTTAGTAGTCAACCCTTAAATCTCTTTCTTTATTTCATTTGTTGAACTTGTATTTGGTTTCATCCTGCTTCCTTTCCATTGCTTGCCCTGTCTGAACAGGGAACGTGACTATGATTGTCCCGTGGTACTCACCTTATTTTGGCTCTCATCCCAGGCCCATTTGGCAAGCCAGACCAGACCACTCCAAGCAACACTGACCAGAGGCGGTGCTGCTGCTTCCAACAACGGCACAAGTAGCTCACAACAGTCGACCAATGGAAGGATTAATAGTATTTTGCATGGTACTTTCGATAAAAAATGGGTTCTGTAGAAAGAGAAATGGTTAACATGTGGGATCGTGTATTGGAAATATTAAGGTATGCACTTTGTTATATACTTACTTGTTACAGGTTTTCATGTCCGTCCTTTTCTTGTTTCTGATCTTCATTCATTCTTTTTCCTCTTTATAATTTTTTTCTTCACTCTTTTTCTGTTTTCAGTTTTTCTCTTTTTTTTGTTTTTTGTCTTCATTCATTCGTTTTCTTCTTTCCATTTTCACTTTACTTTCTTTCTTTTCTTTAAACTTTTTTCTTCTATTTTGCTTTCATTCATTCTTTTTCAATCTTTTTCATTTTTTTTTCACCCTTATTTTTCAATATTTACTTTTTCTTTCTTTCTTTATCCTTTCTTTCTGCTTTTCCTTTTTTTACTTTCATTCTTTTTTTTTTTTTTTTTTTTTTATTTTTTTTCATTTTCTTCTTTTTTTTTCTGCAAATTTTTTGGGTGGGGCAGTTTCATTCTTTTTCTTTTTTTTAATTTTTATTTATATTTTCTTCTGTCTTTTAAGTTTTTCTTTTTTGCTTTCATTCATTTTTTTCAATTTTTTTTTTTTTTTTTTTTTCCCTTTTTTTCAATCTTTCTTTCCTTTTTTGTCTGTCTTTTCCTTTATTTGTGTGTCTTTTCCCTTTTTTTGTGTGTCTTTTCTTTTTATTTGTGTCTTTTTCCTTTTTTTGTCTTTTCCTTTATTTGTGTGTCTTTTCCCTTTATTTGTGTGTCTTTTCCCTTTATTTGTGTCTTTTTTTATTTGTGTTTCTTTTCCTTTATTTGTGTGTCTTTTCCTTTATTTGTTGTCTTTTTTCCATTTATTTGTGTGTCTTTTCCCTTTTTTGTGTGTCTTTTCCTTTATTTGTGTGTCTTTTCCCTTTATTTGTGTGTCTTTTCCCTTTATTTGTGTGTCTTTTCCCTTTATTTGTGTGTCTTTTCCCTTTATTTGTGTGTCTTTTCCCTTTATTTGTGTGTCTTTTCCCTTTATTTGTGTGTCTTTTCCCTTTATTTGTGTGTCTTTTCCTTTATTTGTTTGTGTTTTCCCTTTATTTGTTCTTTTCCCTTTATTTGTGTGTCTTTTCCCTTTATTTGTATTTTTCCTTTATTTGTGTGTCTTTTTTAAAAATTTGTGTGTCTTTTCCCTTTATTTGTGTGTCTTTTCCCTTTTTTTTTTTTCTTGTTTTTAAGTTCATTCATGTTTTCAAGTTCTTTTTTTTTTTTTTTTTTTAAATTTTTTTCCTTCTTTTTCTTTTTTTTCCTTTCTTTCAAGCCTTTTCAAATTTCCCATTTATTTCAAATTTTCTTCCAAATCCCAGGTTTTCTTTTTTCCCCATCCTTTTTCATCCTTTCTCTTTTCTTTTTTTCTCTCTCTTTTTTTTTATACTATCTATTTATATATCTATCTCTATTTTTATTAGACTAGCCCCTATGTTCATTGTCAAATATTTTGCACTCTGTGAACCTCTACACATTAAACTTTCCTCCTATTCAAACTAGTAATTTCAATTTCATCTCATTTTTTGAAATTAAAATCTGAAATGCAGAAGCATCCACAAAGTTGACCAGGTTTCAATCCTGCAGATTCCCAGCTCAAATCTCAGCTATGAAAAATCTTTTCTTTTTTTTTTTTTATAGCGTCTCATCATTCCTTTGCTCCCCTACTTAATTCTATTGTTTGATTCATCACAAATGAATTATTTATAAATTAATTTTCAGATATTTTGAGAGCAATTTTTCTTGAACATCTTCTTTTTTTTTTTTCTTTGCCTATGTAAGTATTAAAACTGAAAAAGCACATCCTTTAACAAAATAGTCACTAAATAAATGTACGAGAAAAGTCTTTTCCAGGCCGTGTATTTTTGTAATGCAAATGCATATTAAATAAATAATTAACACTGAATCAATTCTTTTCTTTTTAAGCTAAAGCCAATCGATAATAACCGGATATTTGTTTACATAGATCAGGTCGCCCCAACTTCAGCAATAAAAATGAAATAAACGAAATTGTTATAGGTCAGTAGAATTTCTCACTGTTTTAACAACACTTTGTCATTTCAAACTAACAATGAAGTTTTAAAATAACCAGTAATATTCTGTCATATTTTATTTTATTTGTTTAGATGTTTAAAAACAGATTATACATCCCATTGAAAGTGTAACAGTTTAATTGAATAGAGGCAAAACTACTATTAAATATCCGTAGACTGCAACTCATTTATATAACACATACACACACATTTATGTATATATATATATAAGTACCATGCATATATAATATATAAATAATATATATAAAAAAATTGACTATATATATATATGTATAAGGTGTGAGTGTGTGTATAATATAAGGTGTGAGTGTGTGTATAATATAAGGTGTGAGTGTGTGTATAATATAAGGTGTGAGTGTGTGTATAATATAAGGTGTGAGTGTGTGTATAATATAAGGTGTGTGTGTGTGTATAATATAAGGTGTGTGTGTGTGTGTATAATATAAGGTGTGTGTGTGTGTGTGTATAATATAAGGTGTGTGTGTGTGTGTATAATATAAGGTGTGTGTGTGTATATATAATAAGGTGTGTGTGTGTGTATAATATAAGGTGTGTGTATAATATAAGGTGTGTGTGTGTGTATAATATAAAGTGTGTGTGTGTGTTTTAAAAAAAGGTTGTGTGTGTGTGTGTATAATATAAGGTGTGTGTGTGTGTAATAAAAACGTGTGTGTGTGTGTGTATAAAGGTGTGTGTGTTGTGTGTGTAATATATAAAAATGTGTATAATATAAGGTGTGTGTGTGTGTATAATATAAATGTGTGTATATATAAGGTGTGTGTGTGTGTAAAAAATTGTGTAATATATGTGTGTATAATGTGTGTGTATAATATAAGGTGTGTGTGTGTATAAGGTGTGAGTGTGTGTGCATATATGCATAGTTTGTGAGTATAATGTGTGTGCATATATATGTATCATGCTAAACACAATCATCAGTGTGACCTGATGATTGCATTGAGCATGAAACGATCTGTCACCTCTGTATTTTGACTTCAATGTTCACTTTCTAAACTTTCTGTTTGCTTTAATTTTGAGTGAAAATAAAGACAAAAATTGTTCAACATTTAGATATTTTTTTATTAAGCAGGTCCTTGAAACAAAGATATTCACCATCAAAGATGATATTCTGTTATGCTTACATAGAAGATTTCTATGTGACAATAAAAGTCACAGAATAGCAGACAAAGGTTGTAAGTTCATGATGCAGTTCTATATTGTCCTACCATGCGAGAGGCCAAAATATTAACTACAGGACCATATGTTTAGTTGCAATGTAATGTGTTGTGACTAGTTTGAAATGTAATTTTGTTGAGTGTGAGTTGCTTTGTTTTTACCTGAAATTAAAGCAACTATACAAAGTTTAGAACGACTCATGATCAGACATAAGACATTTATTGTCTGTTATATTTAACAATATATGTTTAAATATATATATATATATATATATATACATACACACACACACACACACACACATTACAGTTCAAATGTTTAAGGCTATCCCAGGTAAATTTTAAAATTGACCCAAAAAGTTGTCATTTTATACTTTAAAACAATTATTATACATGGTTAAAACAGTGAGACATGATTTTTTTTTATTAGAAATGACAAAAAGAAAAAAAAATCATTTTTATGATTAAATTTTGCTCTCATCAAAATATCCTCCTTTAGCCTTGATTACTGTAGCACAAATTTTTGGTATTCATTGAAAAAGTTTTTGATGGTTAGAAAACAAGTTACTGCATTTTTGTCAGTGCTGTATGGTGGATAATAGAGCATCTTAAGCAGAATGTTATTGGGAAAAGGCCATGCAAAAATACTGGCCCACCAGCAAAAATTTTACCTCTTTTTTCAGCTCTTGAGATTAAAAGGATTTTTGATTTTACCAGAAAAAGTGATCTTTATGACAACAGAAAGTACAAAATTTCAAACCATAGTGTATAACCCCAAATTGAGTGGTTAACAGTATGCATTTCTTGGTACATTTTATGATCTTTGATGGCTAGAAAACAAGTTACTGCATTTTTGTTGATGCTCTATGATGGATGATAGAGCATCTTAAGTAGAAAGATGTTGGGAAAAGGTCATGCAAAAATATTTCTTATTATACTTCTTATTTAAAAAAAAAAATGATCTTTATTATTACAGAAAGCACAAAACCTCAAAATATGGAGTTAGTGTTGTTGCCTTTTGCTTGAATAATTGCCTTAATCAGTCAATCTAGACTGGTTGTTATTTATTTCCCTGTCAAAAAAAAACAATGATAGCAACTCAAACATGCATATCCACTCAAAATAATGTTTATGGTAATAAGAAATAATGTCATATTAAAAAATCCACTCATATATATATATATATATATATATATATATATATATATATATATATATATATATATATTAAATAAATGGACAAATATTATATTTTTAAGATATTTTATGTTTATACATTCTTTTATAGATACAAATATTTAAGTAAATGCTCTGTTTATAATAAACAGTATTAAGCAACATTTACCAGCCTGAATGTCTGAGAAATTTTCATAGAAAATATTCATCCTCCAACAGGAATCGAACCTATATCCTATATGGAACCATCATGTATAAACATAAAAATGTCTTAAAATAATTGTCGGACTTTGCCCATTTCATAATGTGTGACGTCATTTGTTTACATTTGATACACCATGAGCAGATATGAATGTACGTGAGAGAATCATGGAAGATTGTAGTTTAAAGACAGTAAAATCGACCTTGCTAATTGAACGCTCCTCTGTGGCCAAATCAGTTAAAGGCACATCAGGCTATATGATGGTTCTGTATAGGATACATGTTTGATTCCTGTCGGAGGACAAATATTTTCTATGAAAATTTCTCGGACATTCAATTTGGTAAATGTTGTATAATACAGTTTATTATAAACAGAGCATTTACTTAAATATTTGTATCTATAAAAATGTATAAACATAAAAATGTCTTAAAATATATATATATATATATATATATACACACAATAAAATCCCAAATCACCTCATATGGGGAATAAGCTTATTTTAACTGATGAAAAAAAAATTTGTCTGTCTTATTCAACCCCAGTATAGACTGAGTTTCTGCTGGAATTAGAGATTTAACTGTGACAGATACAAATAAAAAAATAAAAACACCAATCAAAAAACTAATACAGAATTTATCCATTTCAATGTTTCAGTCAAACAAAAGGCATGAGACTGGCCAGGGGAGGATGGAAGATATTCATCTTAAATGGAAAAGTTTTTATAAAATTAAACCCAGATATTAATCTTATGGCATTAAATTGGTGTTATATGATTATATTAAATTGGAGTTATATTGGGGTTTTTATATATATATATATATATATATATATATATATATAAATTTAATTCCTTCTTTTTTAGATATACATATGAAATCTTTAAAAGATCGTCAAGGGTCAACTGAAAATGTTGAAAATTCTGAATTAATTAATATGGGTTTGTGAAAATAAACATGTACAACATTAAACAAAACTTATAAATTAAAATTAATATTTATTAATTCATATTTTTTTAAAAATAATATTTGCTATATGTTTTTTTTTTAAAATAATATTACCAGCTATATGTTTTTGAAAAAATAATATTACCAGCTATATGTTTTTTTTAAAAAAAATTACCAGCTATATGTTTTTTGAAAAATAATATTACCAGCTATATGTTTTTTGAAAAAAATAATATTACCAGCTATACATTTTTTGAAAAAAAAATATTACCAGCTATACATTTTTGAAAAAATAATATTACCAGCTATACGTTTTTTGAAAAAAAATTACCAGCTATACGTTTTTAAAAAATAATATTACCATATATACATTTTTTTAAAAATATTAAAGCTATACATTTTTTCAAAAAAAATATTACCAGCTATACATTTTGAAAAAATAATATTACCAGCTATACATTTTTTTTTAAAAAAATATTAACAGAAATAGATTTTTGACAAAACAAAAATATTACCAAAAAAAAAAAAGTTGTCAGCATTAAATGACCCATTGAGGTTGATATGCCGTAAAACAAAACAAACTTTTTCTACTTCAAAATCATTTACCACATGAAAGGAAGAAGATTTCAAGACATCAAAGAGTTTGAAGAGAATGTAATGAGGCAGCTGCTCTGTCCCAATAAAGAAATACCAGGAATGCTTCCATCAGTGGAAACAACACTTGATAAAGTCTGTGACTTTAGAATGTAACTACTTTGAAAAAGATTAAATGGTGAATTGATGTGTCATAGTTTTTTTATGGCATAGTCCCAATACTTTTTGATCAGATCCCATTTCTGTGTGTAATAAATATATATATATATATATATATAT